AGACCCACTCTTTCCCAGCCTCCTGGGTGTCTGGGAGGAAGTGACTTGGAGGAAGGGCAGTTGCAGAAGAAATGGTTTTGCTGTGGGAACCCTGGGGACACCTAGACTCATGCTCTCTGGGTCTCATAGACCAAGGAGAGAGGAAAAGAAAAGTTGCCACAGGGGTCTAACAGGCCCTATGTGGGCTGAGAGGGAGAGGGGCCCTGGGGCCAGGAGTGCAGGTCAGGGATGCAAGAACACAGCAGCACTCTGGCCCAGGCCCTGTGTCCTGCTTTTCTGCATTTCCTTGAGCTCCCCTGGGCTCCTCCCTCACCTCCACCACTGGAAATGCTCACTGACCAACTGCGTGCCTTCGTTGGCCAGCTGTGGGGCCCTGAGCAGAGCCAGAGCCCTGCTCCTTGAAGCAGATCTGGGGGAGTGAGGAGTGAGTCTGGCCGGGTCCTGCAGCCTGGGAGGCTGGAGAGTTGTCCATTCTGCTCAGAATTAAGCCGACCAGGTTCCTGGAATCCAGTGTCCTGGGCAAGGCAGCAGGGCTGAGGAACAAATGCTTTCTGCCTGAGGTGTGGGAGGGAATCAGGGGGGGGCTCCTACTCCTTCACTGACTTCCTTGGGTGGGGTTGGGGGAGGTCCCTCTTCCAGGGACAGTGGTAGGAGCCAGGGTGGGTGGGAATGGGCCTGCTATCAGACATGGTTTATGTTTATCTGGTGGGGAGGCCAGTGTACAGGAGAAGTGAGAGGTGGGTAAGGCTGTGTCTGCTTATGAACAAGGAATTCGGACCTCGAACACCTCAAGCGGCCATCTTCCCTTTCCTCCTGCTCAGCCCTTGTGGGTATGTGGATGTAGTGGGAGTGGAGTTTGGGGAACTCTGTTGGAGAATGGCCGGTGGCCTAAGAGATTACATTTTCACAGGCCCCTATTTCAGCATTTCCTGACCTAGAAACCGCTGAGTCACAGAGGGATTGCTCTGATCCCCTTGTTTCTCTCCCAGGCTGCCTTCTGCATCTCTGAGCGGTGGAGGCCCTTAGAGCTCATCCGCCCCAGCCCCTCCATGGCATGCTGAGCAGGTGGAGAGCAAGTATCGCTATCCCAGACAGGTGCCCATTTGATTGTTCCTTGGATGTGCAAAGTGACAAGTCTCCTTCCTAGGACTCTTTAAGAAATCAAACAGCCCTCCAGATGAACACTTAGGATGCATGTGAGAAGACTGGGAAAGACTTCTGGGAAGGGTGGCTGGCCCACTGTCCAGATCACAAAGGGTAGAAGTGGAAGCTGTGGGACTGTCACTCTGTCCACCTCTGGCCTGCTCCAGCTTCCTGCTGGCAGCGGGGGAGAGATGCTTGTCTTGGCCCACCCACATTCCAGGTCTCAATCTCTGCACAAAGCTGGGAGCAGGCAGGGGCAGAACTGGCAGAGTATGGGAGGGGAAGCGGCAGGCCTGGCAGGGCTGAGCCCTCAGTAAGGTGGAACCCTGGGGCTGCTAAGCTTCCAGGCTGGCGGGGCCTTTGGGCTCGACCAGTTCTGGATGTAGAGACACCAAGGCTCTGAGGAATCATGAGCTGCACAGTGCCAGCCCCCAGGCTTCCTGGCTCGTGGTCCTGTGATTTCTGTCCCTCGCCAGGCTGCCTAATTGTGATAGCTCCCGAGCTGATAACCAGAGCATAGCTCTGTGATGATGATACCCTGGCCCTTTTTTTCCTTCTAACTTAAAAAATATATATATATGCAATATCTTAGGCATGTGATTTAGCAAATTCCCTATGTACCATCCAGCCTAAGAAATAAAATAGATTCACTCAAAGCACTCTCCCACCACAATCTCCCTGTCAACTTCCCACCCTTCCTGTGCATGAATGCTGTTTACATGTAGCATGTGTGGCTCCCTTTTTGAAAGTTCCCCTGAAGCCTAGATGTGTAGTCCACACACAGGTGGCAATAGCCTCTCTTCATCCCTGCCTTGCTGGGACCCTGCAGCCCTGCTCCAGAGCCTTGCCAATGGAGCTGATATTTGTTCCATTGTTGGGCTGCACTGGCAGGCACAGCCTGGCACGATGGGCATCCACTGTATTGGCTGAGTGGCAGCTGGCTTTGTAGGGGAAGTGCCCATCCAGGCCCACAGGGCAGGCCTGAGAAAGGCTAGGGGTGTCTGGCATGCCCTTCGGCAAACAGGAGGGAGTGACAGGGAGTCTGGCCAAGAGCAAGAAGGCAGCCACTTGGGAGCTAGGTAGCCCTGGGGATCTCAGCCCTGGGCCTCCTTATCCTACAAGACCAAACCAAGGACTTCGGAAAGATCCTCGCTGCCCTAGAGCTCAGCCCCAGGACGTGGGGCGCTGAGGCTATAGCCTCTGAGGGACAGGTGGAGCCCAAGCATCAGGGCACGGGGGACTGCTTCTCGGGTCGATGGCTCTCCAGGGGTAGGCAGTGGGAGGTCCCCAGAAAGCAGGCTGGGGACAGTTCTCAAGCTTGCCGATTTCAGGACCTTTTTACCCTCTTAAAAGTAGTGAAACCCCAAGGAAATTTTATTTATGTGGGTTATATCTATTGATATGTACCATATGAGAAATTAAAACATTTTAAAGCCTCTTGATGTAACGTTAAAAATAACATTGTCTTAACTTTTTTTTAAGAAATAATCATGTTTTCCAGAACAGAACAATAGGGGAAAATGGCATGTTTTTATATTTCTGGTAGTCTTTTTAAGTCCTCCTGGCTTAATACAAGGCAGTGAGGTTCTCTAATCTGCTTTTGCATTCAAGTTCCGGTGACGTCAGAACCTCTGGAACGGCCCCTGTGCAACCCGGAGAGGAGAGTGGAGGATCTAAAGGGCCCAGGACCCCTGGGGTCACGGGCGGGACAGGGTGAGGAGAGGGCGCTGCAGTGCCCCGCTCTGACCCCGTCTGTCCCAGCAGGCGTGCTGGCGCTGTGGGTCCTGGTGACACACGTGATGTACCTGCAGGATTACTGGAGGACCTGGCTCAAGGGGCTGCGTGGCTGCTTCTTCGTGGGCATCCTCTTCTCGGCCTTCTCCGTTGCCACCTTCTGCGCCTTCCTGGCGCTGGCCATCACACAACACCAAAGTACGGGCTGCTCAGGGAGGGGCTGGTGCGGGGCCTAAGGGTCGGGTCCCGGTTCCAAAGATAAGGCTCAAGGGACTGGGCAGATCGCTTAGCTTCCCAGTGCCTGGGTTTTCTCCGTGTTAAAGTGGGTAGAGTGAGCGGCCCGCCTCCTCCCCAGGGTTGGAAGAGCTCAGAGAAACTTGTGCCCCACCGACCTGGGCCCTGACGTTCAGGGCCTCCCGGGGCAGAGCTCTGGGGTGGGAGCGCCCCCTGGTGGCTGCGATCCGCAAGTAGGCAAAGGCCCTGGCTGCCTGCCCCTGGGGATTGCGAGGGTGGAGCAGGTTGGGGTAAATGCCACAAACAGAGTAGATTATCTAGACCTATGATTGGCCAGCCCTGACCTCTCCTCATCCCCGCCACTCCTCTAAAACCTCCATCACAGCCTCTCCAGGATGGGCGCAGACTCTGTTGGCAGCTGTGGGGAGGGCAGCCCTCGGCTTCTGTGACATGATGGCTGCAGCAAGCCTCTCTCATGTTTGGTTTGGGTTCTTCTCCCACGCAGGCCTCACAGACCCCAAAAGCTACTACCTCTCCTGCGTCTGGAGCTTCATTTCCTGCAAGTGGGCCTTCCTGCTCAGCTTGTATGCTCACCGCTACCGGGCTGACTTTGCCGACATCAGCATCCTGAGCGATTTCTGACCCAAGGAGCGAGACCTCTGCACCCTGGGGGTCGTCAGCCTGAGACATTGGGCAGGCCTACCACACCCCCTGGGAACCCCAGCACTGGCAGAAAATGGATCGCAGGATACCTGTAGTCTCCCAGGAAGCTGGGGGCAGTGGAAGGGGTCCTTCCATGTTGCTCCTCATCAGCCTGGCTGGAGGGCAGCTTTAGACCTTTTCAAACGGATCCATTTTTCTTAGCACTCAGTGAGGAATCTTTGTGAGCAAGGCCAGGGCAATAATTGAGAGGTAGGGTGGTGAGGCCTTGACCTATGTCTGGGTACCTGGGGAGGTCAGGTCAAGGAAGGGGTCTCTAGTGGAGACCTCTCAACTCCCTACCCTTTGCCCACCCCCCACTCCCCAACCCATCATAGGTCCAGGGATGATAACCTTTGGTACTCTGTCCATCGCCTGGGGATTTGAGCCGAGTTCAAGTGTGTCCCTTTTCCCACCCTGTTCCCCAATAAGTGGTAGAGCCAGTCGTCTCCTCCACACCCAAAAAGCTCTTATGTGTGCCACACACCCAGAGCAAGGCTCCCCAAATGAGACCAGACTAAGTGTCTGGGGAAGGTGCTTTGGGGGAGCGGGCAGCATGGGGTAGTCTGGAAGGGGTGCCCTTCAAACCTGCCCTGTGCACCTCCAGCCTGCATTGCCACTCCACCTTCTCATGCCTGCCCCCTTCCCACCCTAACCGTGAGACACCTACCCTGCTCCTGTGCACTGCCCTTCACCTAGAGCTTCTGTCTTTTTAAATCTCCCTTCGGAAGAACAAAATCTGCTTTTCTGCCTATACAGTAGCCGAAAGGCTCACCTAGCATGGGAGGGAAGGGGCTTTTGTTACATGTATCTTTTGTTAAGTTGCTATTTTGCACATCTACCCTTCCCACCTGATGTGCCCTTTGCCTTATCTGTGTCACCGTCACTTTAGCAGAAATACAGCGGCCATTTGTATTAGACAGCCTCTGGTTATTTCTTGTGAGGTGGGAATTCAGGGTGGTGGACTGTGGGAGTATGGGCAGGAAGGGTGGTAGTGGTGGGTGTCAAGTTGTCTCATTTTGACATTTCCTTAGTTCAGCTCTCTCCGCATGCCTCAGGTGGGGCAAGGATGCCCGTAGGCACAACCTTGCAACCCCCTGTGGGATTAGTGTCTTACCCAAGAGGCCAAGACAGATGGAAAGGAGATGAACCTGCCTCCCTTCATCTGCTGCCAAGCTGTGCGGGCCTGGGGCCAGGTCTGAGGCGAGGAGGCTGCTGGCTGGGGAGGCCTGGCTGACTCAGAACTGTGAAGATGGGTGCTGGCAACCCCAGTACCTTCCTCTCTTCTTACACTGGATGGGCTTGTGCGGGCCCGTGGCCTCACCCATTCTCTCTTTTAGGCTTAACTTGTGCTTAAGAAGTCATGGTGCATTAGAACAGGAAAGAATCATAAACTGTCTATTTCTGTAGCCTTTCACTGATAAACAGAAGCCTCAGGAGGTGAGGTGACTTACCTGAGCTTCCAGTGGGACCTGAACCCCAGCAGGTCTGACTGACCACTCTTCGAGGCTCCCTTAGTGCACTGGGTCTGGACACCTGTATCCCTGATGCTGCAGTGGGCCCTCTGCCCATGGACTCAGCCCAAAGCCGCTGCCTCTTTATTATCCTGAGGTGGGACAGCAGGGCAGCTAAGGTGTGTCCAGGATGTCCACACAAAGGCAAGGAGCCAGAAGGGGGCTGCCCGTCAGCCCCACCTTCTTCACACCGAACCAGGCGCACACTGGGCTTACAACTGTATGCCCACTGCACCCCCCCCCACTCCGAGAAGCCTGTTTGCACGTTCCTTTAAAGCAAATAAAACATTTATTCTTCAGATTTTTTTCCATTTTTTTCTTTTTTACAAAAACATGCATACATACACAGGGTATGGTAGTCATAGAGAAGACACACACACATTCTGTCACATACACATTCTCTCTCTCTCTCACATGCACACACTTTCCTTCTTAGCCCCAGGCCTAGGCCCCAGAAGCCTTGAAGACTTGGCCAAGGCAGCTCCCCCTCCGCCATACCTTGCACCCACTCTCCAACCCCCTTTCCTCCCAACCAAACTAGTCATGGATGGGGCAGGAGTCAGAGTTGGGGTGGGGGACACCCCAGAAAGAGAGGAGGCTCATGGAGAGGTCAGTGACCAAGGGATCCCTGGGCATCACACTGTGCTTCCAAGGGTAGATGGAGGGGCTGGCACCATTGATCAGAAGCACAGAGCTCCAGAAGCACCTGTCTGCTCCACCAGGGCGCTGAGATGGCCAACCTAGGGTGGCCCCTATCAGGGGCAGGGACCAGATGGGAGGCCTGCCAGCGGCTGCTTTTGGAAGGAGCTTTGTCTCCTGCCCATTGGTGGTGGCTGGCGGGGGGTGGGCAGCTTCCTGAATCACTTGAAGAAGCTGGTGAGAGGAGGGACTCCCACTGCACGCAGAGATGGAACCCCTGGCTCCTCCCACCTCTGCCCATTCCCCCCATGCAGCCCTCAGAACCAGGAAGGGCTACCCTGGCTGAGGCCAAGTTCACATTTCTGTGTGGAGCCTGGGGCCATGTGCAAAGTTTGGGGTCTACAGAGCCAGGAATAGTGGTTATGGGTAGGCCACACTGAGCCAGTCCTCCTCTCTGCAGTCCTGAGGAAGGGCGTTCCCAGCCAGGGGCCTGGAGTCCAGAGCAGTGGACTCTGCTCTTGAGAACCCTCTGGGGCCTGGCTGGCTACCCAGCCTGCCTCTTCTCCGCGTCCTCTTTGGGCCCCATCCTAGGCTCCTTGGGGTGGCTGTGGGGTCTGTTCTCTGGCTCCAGCTCCCTGCCTGGAGAGTCTCTGAAGGCCCCAGGATTGGGTCCTGTTGCCAGAGGTTAGGCAGGAACCAGGCCCAAAGGGTGGGTGGGCGGGTCCTGGAGCCTCAGACATTCATGGGTTCCTCTTCCTCTACCAGCTGCTCTGAGGTCCTGGGAGGGACAAGGACAAGATGCCGGGAAGACCTCAGCCCAGCTTCCCAGGAGGCCTGGAAGGCTGGGGCAGCTGTCCGAGGATGTGGAGCCCTCACGCTGGGAGGATCCGAGGGGTGGAAAGGCTGTTGGCCAGAAGGCTGGCCTTACCTGTCTTCAGCCAGGATGCCCACGGAGAGGGACGCCAGTGCTGTCACTGCCTCCACTTCTGCATCAGCCCCTGGTACCCTGGCCACCCAGGAGTCTGGACAGGTGGCCAGGCGCTGCATGCAGCCCCAGTATTTACCTGGGGCAAGAAGCCCAGTCAGAAAGGATTGGAGAAAGCAAGCCCCTCCACCCTGCTATACCACACACCCTAGACCCACATTCAGGTGCACCTCTCAGGCCAAGGGCCCGTATCATAGGTGGGGGGTGAGCTCTCTCTCACCTGCCTCTTCTATCTCAGCACACCTCCCCTGCAGCTCTCACAAGGTGAGTGGAGCAGATTCAGCACTGCTGTGAGGGGCCCTAGTCAGTGCCCTGGCCATTCTCCCACTGCTTTGGCTGAAAGTCCACCTCTGATTCATTCCCATAGGTGTGGGGTTGCTGGAACACCAGCAGGGCCCACTTCCCCTTGATGGAGTCTGTATCAGGGTGACCTCACAGATCCCAAGCCCTGGTCTCCTGGAGCACAAGGTCCCCCTCACAGGCAGCCCCAGCAAGGCTCAGCCAGCAGCAGGATGGGCATGTGGGAGCGGGAGGGCTGGGCATTGGGAGGGCTGATCACCACAGCCACTCGGTGTGGCCGTTGGCAAGCCACTTACCCACCCCGGGCTTCCACTCCCCACCCAGACCATGGTCACAACCATCCTGCCTCCTGTTTTAAGAAATAATGTCCATGGGACACACCAGCACACAGCCTGTCCCAGGGTGAGGGCTCTGTCACAGACGGCTGCCTGAGTCCCAGACGTGGGGAAATCTGTTTTCTCCATTTCTATACCCTGGTGCAGAACATACTGCTTTACATAAAGTGCTCCACAGATGCTGAGTTGAACTTGAAAATTTAGTATTTTCCGTGTGGGGTCATTCTCAAATCCAGCCCCCAAAGCAGGCAGAGCTCCTAAGAAGACCCCTATGGCCAGGCGTGAGGACAGTGCCTTCAGCACACAGGCCTGAGTGTGGCTGTTGGTCTGGCCCTGGCCCAAGGCAGTGGCTGGAGATGGAAAGCCAGTCCTGCCTTGAGGGGACTGTATGGTGGGCCCTGCTGGGTCCAGTGGGAAGGCCCTGAGGATATCCCACCATCCCTACGGGGGTAACTTACAGGGAGCCTATTCCAGACCAGCAAGCAGAGCCCCTGGCCTGGGTGGCATTGGAAGCCCTGGGACCCAGTCACTGGGGACAGCAGACCCCTAAGGGTCTCCCAGCCTGCGGTCCACACTCACTGTGCACCCGGATCACAGCTTCTAGAGAGCGGATGGCGTTGGGGTTGGGTTTCCGTTTCCAGCCTTCTTCTGAGAGGGGGTCCACCTGCAGAAAACAGTACATCAGCCACCCATCTCAGGGACCCACAGGCCCAGCTCTCTCCTACCCCAAGGTCCCTGGCTTTCCAGGCACAAACAGGCATGTGATCTTGGCTCTGCCAAGAGCAGAGACATGGGCCCTAAACCTGACGTGAGGAAGAGGCATCCACTCTGTCCCTTTCCTTCCAAGCCCGGCCACCCACCCCACCTGCAAGCCTTCAGGAAGACACCACACTGACAGCTCAGAGGTCATCCAGGAAGAGCTGGGCTCTCTGCCCCACAGATGCAGCAATGGGGGCGGGAAGCTCACCTTGCTGCCCAGAAGAGCAGCCACACAGGCCTCGGAGGCATCACAGATGGCTGTGAGGTCATGGCCTCCCTCCAGGGCGAGCACCACCGCGCCCCCTGCCAAGCCCGTCAGCTGCTGCGTCATGTACCCGAAGCCTGGAGGACGGGAGGGGAGCAATGTGAAGGGTGTGGGGGGGACCCGGGACCCTCTCCACCCATGCCCCTGCTTCTTCCTCTACAGGTAATGACTCAGACGCACAAACCCTAGTTTCCAAGTATGTTCACAAGGAGCCCCATGCAAATCCTACGAGTAGCTCAGAGATGTAAGGGGCTTGCACAGGGCTAGTAGACAGACAGCAGGGCTGGCTGGAGCCTGGGACATCAACTCCAGCCAATGTCCTTTTCACTAAGCCACACCATCCTTTCTGTCCTCCAGCCCCATGGCCCAGTCGGCTGAGTGGGCTCCCTCTGTCCTAAGGACACTCCCTCAGGAGATGCTGCCGGCCCAGCCTGGGAGTGGCAGCTGGGACAGGGGGTGTTCTATGGCTGAGTCTCCCGGATGTGTGGGAATGGAGTCCTAGGGTGGCGCAGGCCTCTCATGGTGAACCAACATGGTCATGAGCAAGGGCCCTGGGCTGTGCTAGACTAGCAGAGCCCAGGGACTTCCAGAGCCAGCTGCCACTCCCCAGTCCTCACTCATGGTGGCCATGACTGCCTGTTCCTGTACTTGGGCAAGCCCAGTCCTCGTTCCCTACACCTCCTCCTGGGCTGGGCCCTCCTTACATTTGGCGGAAACCCGGTAGCCACCCAGCGGGGCTGGGTGGCCCTCAGCAGCATCAAATCCGGCTGACACCAAGACCAGGTCTGGAGAGAACTCCCGGGCGATGGGCATCACGACCATCCTGCAAAGGTGTCGGGAGCTCACCACACTGTGCAGGGTTGCTGGGGGCAGAGGCCCTTTCCCGCCAACTTCACTGGGGGTACACCTTCCTCTTAGGACTCCAAGATACCCAGTGTCCCAGCAGGACTAGGGATCCCTCTGATTTCCTTGACCTTGGCTGGCCACCTATGTCCCTGGCATCACCTAAGGATATAGCCATCCAGGACCTCTAACTGTCAAGAGGCAGAAAGGAACCAAGGGTGGGGGAGCAGAGGGAATGAAAGAGGAGAGTGCGATGGGTCGGGGGTGGGGGATTGCAGTGGGCAGGGCCCCAGGGAGGGGTCAGACCCAGTTGGGGACTGGAAACACTTGGGACTGAGGTGCTACCCCCTGTACACTGAGTTGGCCAGACCTCACCACTTGCCGCCTAAGACCTGACTAGGGCGACCAGACCCTCCAAGGTCTGGGCCACCCAGAAGGACTCTCTGCCAGGTCCCCACAGCTGCCTCCCTCCATCCCTGACCCAACTCTGGGGGCCATTCTGACGTCTTCCAAGGTCCCGGGCTCTGCACACAGATGCCAGCAACCCCAGTCCAGGGCTCCAGAGAATTAGCTCTCATGGAGAATTATCTCCAGAAAGGATTCTGAGACCTACTTGCTGGCTTGTCTTCTCCCAAATGGAGTATAATGACTCCAGAGTGGAACATATAAGCACTCTTAAATCAGAGCCCAAAGCTCCTCTTCTAGAATGGCTTTTCTTAAGCACTCCTGTGATGTGGGTGCCATCTGCTCTCCCTCTTTCTCTACAGCTTAAGCTTCTCATCTCCCAAGCAAAACCCACCTCGTCCACACAGCTTTCTTTGAATCAATGTGGCAGCCCCGCTCGCACTGCCCGTGCCCGTCTCCCCTCTCAGGCCAGCAGCTGCTCTTGGTAATGTGGCCCCAGAGCATTTACCTGAAGGCAGCTAAGTACTCAGGATCTCCCATCGGGGGGTCCAGGCCTCCCATCCAGGCCACGTTGACATTGAAGCCTTCACCACTGCCAGCTCCCACCTGGAAAACAAGAAGCAAGAGAGACATGAGGAGTGCAGTCCCGGGAGAGGAAGCCCAGGGTGTGGCCGTGTGACCGCTCACCCAGCCTCTTCACTTCTAGGAGAGATGGAGGGTCAGAGAGGCTAAAACGTCTGCCCAACATCACACAGCTGGTTGGGACAGAGGCAGAATGAGGGCCACAAAGGAGGCAGTGAGCCTGGGCGGTAACGCGCGTCACCTCCTCCACAGCCCCGCTGCCTGGGAAGAAATTGCCATCGTCATGCCGATGCAGAGAGATGTAGAGCACACTGCGGTCCTGGTAAAAGGTCTGCTGGGTGCCGTTGCCATGGTGAACATCCTGTGCAGGGAGATGGGCAGTGGATTAGGGAAGGCCTGAGAGCTGAGAGATGGAGCCTGGGACAGGTTAGAAGGGTTTCTAGGTCAGTGCCCAATCTGAGGGTCAGGTCCCCAGACTGGAGATAAGGAAATGGGGTCCTAGTGGTAAGCTGTTGAGTGACCCCAGGCAATCTGCTGGCCCTTGCTGAGCCTCAACCTCTCCATGTATGTGTAGACATGTATATGACACACCAGAGGAGGGCAGGTATGAGACCCTGAAGTGGGGCAGGCATGCCAAGGGCAGGCCAGCCAGAGAGAGTTCAGTGTGTGGGAGTGGATTAGTGGCAGGACAGGGAAGAGTCCAGGGTCACACGTGTCAGGAGACGTTGCTGCTCTATCTTGCCCAAGGTCATGGAGTGATGCAGGTAATCAGAAACAAGGTCGGTCACAGAGCGTCACGAAAACACGGCCAGTGCTGTCCCCAAGGAAGAGCTAAGGCCTGCCACGTGGTGACCCCTAGGACATGTAGGGTGCAAGGGGCGCAGTCCCTCTGCTGTCCTCAGCCTGTGTGTAAGAACACTCCATCCACGGTGCCAGTGCAGAGTGCTATCAGTCAGGTGCATGTACTCTAGGCTAACAGGCCTGGGCTCAAATTGCAGCCCAGGACTTACTGGCACGTAGCAGTGTGTAAGTGACATGACCTCTCGGTGCTCACTTTCCTCATCTGTAACTGGGTTGCAGTCAGGATTACACAGTGTTTGGATGTGATTACAGGCATGTTGATGCTATCTGCTAATAGTGTTACTGTAACTTTGCAGGGAAAAAGCAGACATTACATCTGCAGAAGGATGTCAACAGAGGCCAAAGGAAAGCACTCAAATGGCTCCTCCCACTGTGCGGATTTGTTAGGGCTGAAGGCCTTCCCAGTGTCCTCTGGGCCTCCCCCAGGAGGTGTTATCTTCACTTGCATTTTATACATGGGGAAACTGAGGCTTGGGAGGCTACCGACAACTAGGCCACAAAGCCCTATCTTCTGATGCCAGGCTCTTTTCACGGGGCTCTTGGATCTGAAGGGCAAGGAATGGGGACCTACCCAGTCCACAATGAGGATCTTGCTGGCCTTGCCCTGTTCCTGCAGCTGCCGGCAGGCAATGGCCACTGAGTTGAAGAAGCAGAAGCCCCTGGGAGGAGAGAAAGGTCCTGCCAGCCCACTCCTTCCCTGTGCTTCCACCTCTCAGGCCTCCCACAACTGGCCCCAGCAACCCAGCCCCAGAAGGCATAGGGGAAGGAGGGGAAAGGTCTCAAAGGAAGGCCCTGGGGGCCTGCCCTTCACTGCCCCCCACCCAGGCCTCCCTCAGGCCTTACATGGCTGTGGAGTGGTCTGCATGGTGTCCTGGGGGCCGAACCACAGCAAAACCGTTCTGGAAACAAAGAATGCTTATCAACCAACCAGTCGGCCAGCCTTCTGACCCACATCTCCATGCACCTGCCCCCAGCCCCAGGCTCATTCCTGGCTGCCAGCACGTGGCATGTCTATGACCTAGTGCTCAGCCCCCAGGCTGGGCATTCTCTGCTTTTAGGTGGCTGTGAACACAGAACCCTCACCCTGGTGTGTCCTGGCAGTTATCACTATAACAACAGCTACTATTTCCTGGGCAAAACCCACCTGCCTGGCACTGCACTAAGCATTTTATGAGTGCTGGAGTTCCTCTTGACATCTCAGAGGTGCGTGCTGTCTAATCCTTGCAACATCTCCATAAGATAAATGTTATTATTACCTCTAGTTTACAGGCTAGGGAAAATGTTGTTTACAGGAAAACATCTTGTGTGAAGTAACCTGGTTGTAAATGGTGGAGCCAGGATTTTAAACCCAGTGTTGTGCCCTTAATTGCAAAGCCCATCAGGAGCTGTCTGACAGGAGCACAGCGGGACTGCCTCAGGCTGTGAGCCCTCAGGCAATGGTGTGTGGTCCTCAGCACAGGACCCTGTCAGATGCCCAGCCCAGAGCAGCCAGCCAGGCCTGAAAACAGTACGTCAGCCTCCCCAAGAACCAATCTGCCAACATGCAGAAGTCCAGAGCACCCAAGGTGTGCCTGTGGTCACGCCGCGGGTCTGTTACATGATCCTGGATGATCACGACCCCGTGTGTCTTACAGAGACCAAAGGCCCAGTGTCCCGGTGCGCTGATTCCTCACCAAGGAGCCTAGGACTAGTGTTCAAATCTCACTTTGGTCCCAGAACTCTCCACATCCCTTCCAAAACCCCGTGGTGATATCCAAGAAAAATAACGCCTGTGGTTCTGGGTCTGGCCCTCCCCACGCCTTCTACATGCACCCCCTCCACGCCCGGCCCGCCCACCTTCAGCTCCTGGGAAGCGACCCTGAAGGCGAGATCGGTGACGCTGCCGGCGGCCCAGCGAGCCGCACTGGAGGAGTGCAGCTCGCTCCAGACGGTGTCGGTGTCCACCTGCGGGGGCCAGAGTCAGGGCCGGCATCGCCCCAGGCGTCTCACAGGAGCCGGCCCCCACGGCCAGGACCCTGGGCAGGGAGCCGGGCAGGCAGCGCCGCCCCCCAGTGCCGCACCGCCCGCCCGAAGGCAAGGCCTCCTGCGCCCCCCAGGCCCGGCACGACTCCTTCCCAGCGCCAGTGCGCTGCACCAGCCCTCGGGCGGACAGCGCGGCAGCCTCGCCCCTGCCTCCCGGTCGGGGGCGCGGCGTTACCTGGGCGGGACTTGGGGTTTGGGCCGGGAGGGGTTTAAGCCCCAGCTGACTCTGCTCCGGCCCTGCGGGATGGTCGGAGCTCGAGGGGCCGTCTGCACCACTGTCTTCCACTCAGGGCCCCTAGCCCAGGCTGGGAGGCCCCCCAAACCCAGTCCCTGGGCCTCAAGGCTAGGGAGGGGCCGGGGGGCATGATGGGGAGATGGGGAGGGCGAGGCGGACCAAGAGAGGCGAGGAAGGCAGAGAGAGTCGCAAGAGGCTGGAGAGAGAGAGAGACAGAGACAGAGAGAGGAGGGAGGAGAAAACAGAGGCAACAACAGTTGGAAAAATCAGAAAGTGGCAAGAAATGGGAAGTTGTGAACAGGGCGCTGACTGGCTCCCCCAAACAGCCCCCCAGCTACGGCTCCCATTTCCCTCCACAACGTGGCCTCCATCCCCTGCCTTCACACAGCTGGCTGGGAAACACTGCAGGGACTTTTTCAGGCGAGGAGAGCCCCGCCAGAGGCGGCAGGAGGAAGGAAAGCTGGGGAGTGGTAGAGGAGGGTACCCCTCAGCCCCAGGCCAGGCAGCCCCGAGTGGACAGAGGCCCACTCGGGGAGGGCAAGGCCGCCTGGAGGCTGGCGTGGAACGGCCAGTCCTGAGCACCAGGGCATCACAAAGGGAGATGACCCCCAGCCCCACTCTCGGCCCTGCTCTTGGAGCCTTCCTCATCATTTATACTGGCTAAGTGTGAAGCCCAGGGCTCCACGCTTAGGAAACACTGACGGGCCTGCAAGGAGCTTCTAGCCAGCAGAGGGACACTATGGGAAAGCCCCTGGCCTGCTGGGTCTGGCAGACCCAGAACAAGCAGGCAGCGGATGGGCCTGGGAGAAGGAGGGGAAGGGATCCAAGAACCCATGGCAATGGCCGCGTGAGGCCACAGGCACACTTACCCCAACCCCACCACAGGGCAGCGTCACGAACATCCGCTGTGCCAGAAGCCCTGCAGGGAGAGGCCCAGAGCATGAGCCCTGCCAGGGGCAGCGGTGCACAGCAGAGGGACAAGGGGCAGTGAGGGTACATCCAGCGTGCTGGAGGGGCAGGCTGGGCAGAGCTGGACAAGAGGGCACAGGAGAGGCTGGGGCTGGGTGAGCCAGGAGGGGTACAGGAACAGCAGGCGCCCCCGGGCCCCTACCTGCCAGCTTCCCGTTGTCCAGTTTGAGGCGGCTGAGCGGGTTGGTGCCGTAGAGGAGCACATGGCGCTCGGAGTGCACTGACTGCAGCTCCTCCAGGGAGGCCTTCCGGCCCCGGAGACACTGGGGAAGGACCACGGAGCTCCTGAGCCCCATTCAGCCCGACCCCGCCCTGGCCGCTGCTCCCTTGGCCCCGCAGCCCACACTGCACCAGGGCCTCCCGGCCCCTTTCCTTCCGTTACTCTCACCTCATCCATTCTGCAGACCCACCCCGCCTCCTCACCTCACACTGGCTCCGGAGGCCCCGCTCCTGCAGCCGGGACCAGATGCTCTGGATACGGCCTGCATGCTCCGGGTGCCTGCTGTTGTCTCCACAGGAGCACTGGTGCTTCAGCATGACCGAGTCGTAGACCAGCCCTGCCGGGAGCAGGGCTCAGGCCTGGACCCCAGGGAGTTCCCCACCATCGGCTGCACATGGAGCGCCCACACATGGCCAGGGTCAGCATGCCCCCCACACCCACAGTACCACATAAGGGGAAAGGTCTCAAAGGAAGGCCCTGGGGGCCTGCCCTTCACTGCCCCCCACCCAGGCCTCCCTCAGGCCTTACATGGCTGTGGAGTGGTCTGCATGGTGTCCTGGGGGCCGAACCACAGCAAAACCGTTCTGGAAACAAAGAATGCTTATCAACCAACCAGTCGGCCAGCCTTCTGACCCACATCTCCGTGCACCTGCCCCCAGCCCCAGGCTCATTCCTGGCTGCCAGCACGTGGCATGTCTATGACCTAGTGCTCAGCCCCCAGGCTGGGCATTCTCTGCTTTTAGGTGGCTGTGAACACAGAACCCTCACCCTGGTGTGTCCTGGCAGTTATCACTATAACAACAGCTACTATTTCCTGGGCAAAACCCACCTGCCTGGCACTGCACTAAGCATTTTATGAGTGCTGGAGTTCCTCTTGACATCTCAGAGGTGCGTGCTGTCTAATCCTTGCAACATCTCCATAAGATAAATGTTATTATTACCTCTAGTTTACAGGCTAGGGAAAATGTTGTTTACAGGAAAACATCTTGTGTGAAGTAACCTGGTTGTAAATGGTGGAGCCAGGATTTTAAACCCAGTGTTGTGCCCTTAATTGCAAAGCCCATCAGGAGCTGTCTGACAGGAGCACAGCGGGACTGCCTCAGGCTGTGAGCCCTCAGGCAATGGTGTGTGGTCCTCAGCACAGGACCCTGTCAGATGCCCAGCCCAGAGCAGCCAGCCAGGCCTGAAAACAGTACGTCAGCCTCCCCAAGAACCAATCTGCCAACATGCAGAAGTCCAGAGCACCCAAGGTGTGCCTGTGGTCACGCCGCGGGTCTGTTACATGATCCTGGATGATCACGACCCCGTGTGTCTTACAGAGACCAAAGGCCCAGTGTCCCGGTGCGCTGATTCCTCACCAAGGAGCCTAGGACTAGTGTTCAAATCTCACTTTGGTCCCAGAACTCTCCACATCCCTTCCAAAACCCCGTGGTGATATCCAAGAAAAATAACGCCTGTGGTTCTGGGTCTGGCCCTCCCCACGCCTTCTACATGCACCCCCTCCACGCCCGGCCCGCCCACCTTCAGCTCCTGGGAAGCGACCCTGAAGGCGAGATCGGTGACGCTGCCGGCGGCCCAGCGAGCCGCACTGGAGGAGTGCAGCTCGCTCCAGACGGTGTCGGTGTCCACCTGCGGGGGCCAGAGTCAGGGCCGGCATCGCCCCAGGCGTCTCACAGGAGCCGGCCCCCACGGCCAGGACCCTGGGCAGGGAGCCGGGCAGGCAGCGCCGCCCCCCAGTGCCGCACCGCCCGCCCGAAGGCAAGGCCTCCTGCGCCCCCCAGGCCCGGCACGACTCCTTCCCAGCGCCAGTGCGCTGCACCAGCCCTCGGGCGGACAGCGCGGCAGCCTCGCCCCTGCCTCCCGGTCGGGGGCGCGGCGTTACCTGGGCGGGACTTGGGGTTTGGGCCGGGAGGGGTTTAAGCCCCAGCTGACTCTGCTCCGGCCCTGCGGGATGGTCGGAGCTCGAGGGGCCGTCTGCACCACTGTCTTCCACTCAGGGCCCCTAGCCCAGGCTGGGAGGCCCCCCAAACCCAGTCCCTGGGCCTCAAGGCTAGGGAGGGGCCGGGGGGCATGATGGGGAGATGGGGAGGGCGAGGCGGACCAAGAGAGGCGAGGAAGGCAGAGAGAGTCGCAAGAGGCTGGAGAGAGAGAGAGACAGAGACAGAGAGAGGAGGGAGGAGAAAACAGAGGCAACAACAGTTGGAAAAATCAGAAAGTGGCAAGAAATGGGAAGTTGTGAACAGGGCGCTGACTGGCTCCCCCAAACAGCCCCCCAGCTACGGCTCCCATTTCCCTCCACAACGTGGCCTCCATCCCCTGCCTTCACACAGCTGGCTGGGAAACACTGCAGGGACTTTTTCAGGCGAGGAGAGCCCCGCCAGAGGCGGCAGGAGGAAGGAAAGCTGGGGAGTGGTAGAGGAGGGTACCCCTCAGCCCCAGGCCAGGCAGCCCCGAGTGGACAGAGGCCCACTCGGGGAGGGCAAGGCCGCCTGGAGGCTGGCGTGGAACGGCCAGTCCTGAGCACCAGGGCATCACAAAGGGAGATGACCCCCAGCCCCACTCTCGGCCCTGCTCTTGGAGCCTTCCTCATCATTTATACTGGCTAAGTGTGAAGCCCAGGGCTCCACGCTTAGGAAACACTGACGGGCCTGCAAGGAGCTTCTAGCCAGCAGAGGGACACTATGGGAAAGCCCCTGGCCTGCTGGGTCTGGCAGACCCAGAACAAGCAGGCAGCGGATGGGCCTGGGAGAAGGAGGGGAAGGGATCCAAGAACCCATGGCAATGGCCGCGTGAGGCCACAGGCACACTTACCCCAACCCCACCACAGGGCAGCGTCACGAACATCCGCTGTGCCAGAAGCCCTGCAGGGAGAGGCCCAGAGCATGAGCCCTGCCAGGGGCAGCGGTGCACAGCAGAGGGACAAGGGGCAGTGAGGGTACATCCAGCGTGCTGGAGGGGCAGGCTGGGCAGAGCTGGACAAGAGGGCACAGGAGAGGCTGGGGCTGGGTGAGCCAGGAGGGGTACAGGAACAGCAGGCGCCCCCGGGCCCCTACCTGCCAGCTTCCCGTTGTCCAGTTTGAGGCGGCTGAGCGGGTTGGTGCCGTAGAGGAGCACATGGCGCTCGGAGTGCACTGACTGCAGCTCCTCCAGGGAGGCCTTCCGGCCCCGGAGACACTGGGGAAGGACCACGGAGCTCCTGAGCCCCATTCAGCCCGACCCCGCCCTGGCCGCTGCTCCCTTGGCCCCGCAGCCCACACTGCACCAGGGCCTCCCGGCCCCTTTCCTTCCGTTACTCTCACCTCATCCATTCTGCAGACCCACCCCGCCTCCTCACCTCACACTGGCTCCGGAGGCCCCGCTCCTGCAGCCGGGACCAGATGCTCTGGATACGGCCCGCATGCTCCGGGTGCCTGCTGTTGTCTCCACAGGAGCACTGGTGCTTCAGCATGACCGAGTCGTAGACCAGCCCTGCCGGGAGCAGGGCTCAGGCCTGGACCCCAGGGAGTTCCCCACCATCGGCTGCACATGGAGCGCCCACACATGGCCAGGGTCAGCATGCCCCCCACACCCACAGTACCACATACCCCATCCCGCCCCTTGGCCCTGCACACCTGTATGCACACCCCCTGGCAGCCTCCCCGGGCAGTCTTCAGGCATCTCATAGCACCACCACCCCCTGCAACACGACTGCCAGATGGCCCTGCCTTCTAGACACACCGAACCCTCCTTATATGGCCCAATACATCTACTATGGCCTCAAGAGCTCAAAGCCTAATCAAGGGAGGCCTCACACTGGATGTCATGACCCAAGCAGGCTACAAAGGGGAAGCAAGAGGAGAAAGAATTCTTCAGAACCCCCAGAACTGGGAGCTGGGAATGAGACAGGACAGATGCAGTCTGGGGAAAATGCCGTTCTCAGGCGACCGGCAGGAAGCCGAGAGGACCCTGCACCGCTGCTGGCAGGGGGCTCACTGTCAGTGCGCCTCTAGACATCAGCATCTTCAAGTGTTGGTACCATTTGGCCCAGGGATGCCACTCCTGAAGAGTGACTTTTGGGAAACAGTTCCGGGGATGAGGAAAGATTTATGTACAAGGAAATTCAGATAAGAATGAGTGCCCTCTAATCCCCAACCAGTAAGAAATCTTAAATCAAAATAAAATACTCCAATGAAATACCACAAAAATCTCACTTCTAAAGATTAATTATATTGCAAGGTATTCAAAACATGTTAACTGAATAAATGGGGGACACAATGTGGTTACGTGTATTTGGTATTTGTATGTACACATAAGGCCAGAACAAAGACTGGACAGAAGTAAAGCAGCATTTAAGAGTGGCCACCTCAGAGTGGCAGCACTGGGGGACAGTTTTCATTCTATTCTTCCGCTTTCCTGTAATGTCCCAGTGACGCCATGACACAGACAGGGACTCACGCCCTGGGCCTGTGTGTGCCCCCAGCCCCGTCCTCTTGCCCCACTAGAATCCGGGTCTTACCTGTGGTGAAGGGCAGGGTCCCGGCAGGAGTCTCTGAGCCAGGCAGGACACGGGGCTGGCTGGCCGGCTCTGGGGTTGGTAGTGAGGCAGGTGCGGCCGGGGATGACTGAGCCCTGGACAGGGGCCGGTGACTGCCCTGAGCCAGAGGAAGCAGCACAGATTCCCCAGTGCCTCCCCGGGCAAGCCGCCCAGCCAGCCGCTGCTGCTCCCAGAGGAACACCTGAGGGACACAGGGGGCCTCAGTCTCCAGGTTCTCAGGACCCTGCTCCGTCCTGCTTCTGCCCAAAGTCTCAGAAACCTCCAGACAAGCCCCTTTTCTGGGTAGATTCCAGGATGCCTATAGGCCTGCCTCCCAGCCAGGATCTGGCCTTTTGACTCTATGAGCCCCTCACCCCTGCCAGGCCCCCAAATGTCTGCACCCCAGACTGACCACCCCATTCCACCAGAGCTCCCTGGGCCCTGGGGACTCCAAAGTCAGAAACCAGGTGAGAGGCCTCAGGACCAGCTCTAACCCCATCTCTTCTTTTCCAAGGACTGTACACCTGCCCAAGGACACAGGATTCTGGGTGAGCATGTGTTAGTGGTACCACATATCATGGGCTGAATTGTGTTCCCCTTCCAACTTTGCATTTAGGAAGGAAATCCCACCCCCCAGTATGTCAGAATGTGACCTTACTTGGAGATCGGGTCTTTACAGAGATAATCAACTTAAAATGAGGTCATTAGGGTGAGCCTTAATCCAATAGGACTCTTGTCCTTCTAAAAGGGTGAATTTGGACATAGACATGGCCAGAAGGAAGACGATGTGCAGACACAGGGAGAAGACAGCCAGCTACAGCCAAAGAGAAAGACCTGGAGCACTGCTTTCCTTCATAACCCTGAGAAGGAGCCAGTCTACTGACCTTGACCTCAAACCTCCACCTCCAGATTTGGGAGACAGTGTATTATTCTGTTTAAGCCGCCTAGCCTGTAGCCTGTTACAGCAGCCCCAGCACAGCTTCACTCAGGTGGGGGAGCACTCTGGCTGGGGTGCTTGAGCCCGGCTCTGCCCCACTTGCTCCCTAGCCACCTTCCTGGAGGCAGCATACCTGCTCACAGGGAGAAGCACTGGGGCAAGGATGTGCACGGCTCCATGAAAGGCCAGCCTCACTGCTGGACAAGGGACATGGCTTCACGGGAGACTGGCTAGCTGGCTGCTGGACTGTGCACATATATGTGCATGGGTGTGTGTGTGTGTGCCTGTGTCTGCACCTTGGTGTGGATCTGGCAGGGCAACCATGGGTCCCAGAGCTGTTCCTGGCCCTGACCCCCTATCTCCCTCCCTCCCGTCTATGCCAGGCCCCAAGGTTCCCTGGTGATACCCTCCAGGAACAGCTGGGTGCTATCTTACCTGCTGGTGCTGCTGGAGAGGAACAGGGCCTCTGGCGTCATGCTGCCTGTGGCTCAACTCCCTGTGTTCCATACTGTCCCCGCCCACGGGCCCCACTCCACCACCATCTGTCTCTAGGTCCTCAGCAGAAGGTATCTGCCGCAGTCGAGGCTTCTCACTTGACTTGGCGGGCCTCTGAGGAGGGAAGACGCTCAATGAGAAGCCATCCTTGAGTGTGGGGTGTGGGCTAGGCTTGGTGGCTGCTCCTCCTGCTGGGACTTCAGTGGCCACACAGCTCTTGGCCCTCAGGAGACACGTGTTCTCTGGCCCTTCAGCTCCCTGCTCTTCCTAAGCCTCCCTTCTTCGTTCAGCCCCAACAGGCCCAGTTAAGCAACCCTCACCACCACCCCTACCCAGCTGCCCTCACCTTGATCAGCTGGATGTGGGGTTTGAGCCGCTCCAGATGGGGCTTCAGGGGGCCCAGCGGTGGGTGGGCGGTGGCCCTTGGGGGCAGGGGTTCTGAGCGGGTCCGGCTCAGCGGCCGGTGGAGGCCTGACCCAGAGAGCCGCTCGGTAGTCAGTAAGGACTGGGCAAAGTGGAAGGGCAGGGGTCCCAGCCCCGGCACTGCAAAGAACAGGGTGGGGGTGGGGCATGAGGAGGGAACCGCAGGGAGGAGTGGAAGCAGCAAGGGCATGCAGCGGGGGGCAGGGGCTCAGCAAGGATGTGCACAGGAGGACAGGGGGCTGCAGAGGAGGCCGCGACGGTGGAATCCCTCCCCAGACCAGCCCTTAGCATGGTGCACAGACCCAGCCCCTCCCTGGAGAAGCAGCAGGACTCACCCGTCAGCAGTGGGGTGTGAGAGACTGAGGGGTCCAGGAGGAGAACGGGCTGCAGGCGAGAGGGCAAGGGGCCCCCAGCCTCAGGCTCCAGGCCGTGGGGCAGGAAGAGGGGAGCATGGGGGCTTCCCAGGACTGGCCCCCGAGGACTCAGTGTTGGGTGGGTCCTGCGGTCACCATCAGCCTGGGGGAAAGATAGAGAGAAGTCACAGGGAGAAGATTCAGCAGAGTGGTAAAGGTAGAAAGATAGGCAATAGAAGGAAGCAGAAGAAGCCAGGAACATGAAATGGGGGAGGGCACCTCAGCCACTCACCCTGACAGGGGCTGGCAGCCCCAGTGTGATCGCGGGCAGCAGGGACACTGTCGGCAAACCGAGCGGGGCCAGAGAGGTCTCCTGCAGCCGCAGCCGCGGGCCCAAGAGCGCCTGCCGTGGGGAGCAGGGCCGGGTCACTGGCCCCAGAACTCCACCCGGGGCACGCCTTCCCCAGGACACCCAGAGGCCGCCCAGTGGTGGCCCAGCCAGGTCAGGGCCACCTGCTGAGAAGGCAGAGCCCAGCCTGCGAGGCCTTACCTCTGAGCCCAGGACAGGGTTGGGGCCATGCTCGCTGTCATTGGGGGAGCTGCACCCTGATGCCGGAGTGCTACCACTACTGGGGGAGGAGTCTGAGGGTCGGGGAGACAGGGAAGTGCAGTTAGAGGCCAGGTGTGGCCAGGAGGGCAGGGCTGGGCCCCTGGTCCAAGGTATCCAGGACAACCCCTCCCCAGCAGGCAGTCTCTGCTTCCTGCTTTCTTCCCATAAGGGGCAGAAGGCAGGCTGCCGTGAGTCTCCGGTAAGTTTGGACACCTTTTTCCTAACAGGCTCCTTCTGGGTGGACGCCGGCTTGGCCAAAAGAGCAAGGGCTGCTCTTAGCGTCCCCTCAGTGTGTAGGATACACCCTGCATAGCCAGGCATTAGCCCTGAGGAGGCGACTGCAGTCCGGGTGGGACCTCAAGGGCACCCCCTGCCCCGCCATGCCACCCTGATGGCCCTCACCACCGAGGGACTCCGCAGGCCTCCGCCGGAGGCTGGGCGGTGCACTCTCCTTTCTGAGCAGTGGATTCTTCCTCCGCTCCAGGGACTTCTTGGGCTTGTAGCGCAGCTTCAGGTTGGGCTCGGAGACTGCGGGAGCAGCAGCTTGAGAGCCTGCAGCACCCTCCTCTCCGCCCCTCAGCCCTCCCTCCTAGTCACCTCTGAGTTAAGGCAAGAGAAGGGGCAGCCAGGGAGAAAAGCGCCCCGTGCTGCCCTTCCCCACTGGCTCCCGCACCCCAGACCTCTGCCCGAGCCCCTCCCCGTCTTGCCCCTGCAGGTCCCTGCCTGCCCAGCCCACTCACCCGTCTTCCGCAGAGGGAAGTGTTCTGAGGCATCACTGGGCAGGCTGGGAACAGGGGGCAGAAAGCTGCTGAGCAGGGAGCGGGTGGCTCCTTCTGTCTCCAAGGGCTCAAGAGTTCTGTGGGGTGAGTGCCAAGAAAGCTTCAGAGGGGTATGGACGCCCACAGGGCTGGCAGCCGCCTCACTCTGCCAGTGCTCCTTCCAGAGTCCTGTGCCCCCGAGATGCTAGGGGGTGGCAGCCAGCAGGGCCAGGGGGTCTGTGGCTGGCAGGCATGGGGCCAGCCTCCCTACCAACAGCCCTCTGATTGGGACTTCGGAGCCAGGGTTCCCTGGCTTGGGTGAGGGCCAGATGCTGGGACTCTTGTCTCCTGCAGGAGGAATCTGCTCTAGAAGTGAGGATATTTTTGAGCTTAGGGGAAGACCTGGAAAAGGGACTTGTGTGGGGAAGAAAGCCAGCAGAGTACACATGTGAGATTGTGAATGTAAGAGGGAGGACGGGCCTTAGGCGGGGTGGGGAGAGGTAAGTAAAGGAGAGAAGAGGGCAGGTGTCAGGTGGGACAGGGGGCTGGGCAGGCAGCATGGTCACAGGTGAGGAGTAAGGATCAGGTGGCAGACAGCTGGGAGAAGCAAGGGAGGCTGTATGCACTCACAGGCTGACATACAGGGAAGAGGGTCATGGCAGGGATAAAAGAGGACAGGTGGAAGAGAGCTACCTGTAGGGAATACTGGAGCTATTGGGATGGACTGTTCTCTCCAGGGCTGCCTGCTGCTTCTTCAGAATCACCTCTGCCAGCTTCTGCTTGACCACACTGCTGGCTACAGCACCTGTGGGGCAGAGAATCATGGGTGGGCTGCAAGGGATAGGGGGGTGGCCCCCCTGGCTCATTGTGTGCCCTGTCCACACGCCCAGTACCGGGTGTCCCAGGCACTCTTCAGACAAGACCCAGGCCCGAGACCCGGCCACCCACCTGACATCCCCAGGCAGGGCCCTGCAAGCAGAGGGAGACCCAGGCTAGCAGTGGCTTCCCCAGCCCAGCCCTCACAGGCCCACCAGCAGGGAGTCTCCATCCTTACTTCGCTTGCTCTTGTCCTTATTGAGAAGCTGCCGTAGCTCTTGTTCCTGCTGGCCCATCTGCAGCTTCGGTATTGGCGTGTCCATCGGGAGCTGTGGGCAGGACCACGCCCAGGAAGGGCAAGGAGGTGAGGACATCAGGGTCATGGAGGATGAAGGGAGGGAGGGGGCCAGGGCGAGCTCAAGGCTGCCCTATGTGCAGGGAGCTCTATCTTTACCCTCAGGGTCTCCACGGAGCGCTGCTGCACGCCTGCGAGGAAGAGGGGATGGTGCAGACGCGAGGGGTGCTGCGGGGCCAGCAGCGTGGGCTCGGGGGGGTGCTCCACTGGTGGGCGCTGACCCACCCGCAGGTCCATGGGCTGGGGCTGAGGGCCTGGTGTGTCTGCACAGGGCCTGGGGCAGCCTAAGGACACAGAGGGAGGGCACAGTCAGCCGGAGTTTGTCTGCAGGCCCACAGTTACTGCCTAATCAGCCCCCTTCAGGCTCACCTGTCAATGGGAACCCCTCCCCTGCAGGAGCCTTTTCCCACTCCATCCTCACCACGGCTCTGCAAGGTCCTTCAACTCCACTTCGTCCGTGGGCAAGGAGGTCAGATAAACTGTGCAGTTAGCCTATAGCCAGTTATTTGAATTGAGCCTTCTGACACAAAGCATAGTGCCTTTCCACTAAGTATGTCACCTCTCCAGGCCAGGGGCTGAGGCTGTGGCAACTTAGTGATGGGTTGTGAGCCCTGTGGCATCTGGGCTCTGTCATCCCCTTCCCTCTGTCCCTGCTAGAATGAGTATCTGGCCCAGTGGCCCTCTAATGAGCTGCCCTCAAAGACAGCGATCTGACAGGCAAGCACTCTTCTCTGTCCAGCCTCCCAGCCACAGGTCCCCATAGGACTTCTCAGTTGTCCCCCTCCTGTGCTCTATCCCAGGCCACTGGGCAAAGGCACAGCATCTCAAGCCCACAGCCAGCCCTGGCCTGACACTCTGGGCCTGGACAGCCCTAGGCACAGGACAGCTTCCTCAGCTCGCTGGGACCTCACACCTGTGGGCCCTGCCCCCAGGTACCCTCATGCTAGCCAGCTCTGGGCCTGGCATGGTGAGGGCAGTGGGCTCAGCTGCCTCTTCTTGAGTGTCCTCTGCACCCATGCCAGGAGCACCCTTCCAAGGCCATGGGTGCAGAGACTATTTATAGCCAGCTACCAGACTGTGCTCTGTGCCCACTGGGCCAGGCTGGGCAGGGCAGCAGGACACTTGGGGGTGGAACTGCCATAGAGCAAGTATCCTGGCGAAGCGAAGCAGGTGGGAGTGGGAGCTGGTGTCCTAGGACAGAGCACACAGTCAGGGAAACCTTTCTGGAGAGCCTCCTTCAGCTTGTCCAGTGCTGGGCATCCCCCTCTGGGGCCACCACAGGCTGTCCTCTGGGCCCAAGGCTGAGGGGAACTAGAAGGCAATTTGGCCAAGCACCGCGGGGAGCCAGGAGAGTCAGCCTTCAGGCCCTAGTCCACAATTACCCGTGCACCTGTGCACCTGTCTGCAAAACCCTCCCACCCGGTCACGCCGCAGGCCATGGGAGGCATCACTGTCCCACCACCCCAAAAGAGGAAACCGAGGCCCAGGTGGCAGGTCTTAGCCAGGGCCGCCCCGCAAGGGTCTGAGTGAGCCTGTGCTCCACCCCCTCTGAGGCCAGTGTTCTGGCTCAAATTCCCATCAACTTTCAGGAAGGACCCCTCCAATTCCTGGGGGGCGGGTCTCACTGGGCAAAGGAAGAGAGGCCTGCAGTGGGTTGCCACGAAGGGCTTCCACTCACATTCTCTGATGGTAAGAAGCAGACGAGAGGGTAACAGAGCAGGGAGTTGCCTGCCACAGCTCTCTAGATGTCAAGAAGGGAGATGGGCATGTGCCCAGATGAGGCCCGCAGGGCGCATGGCTCTGAAACCCCCACTATTTGTCCATTGACCCCTGGGCCCCCGATTCGTGCTCTGGTTGGGCCTGATGCCAATGGCTTCCTGCCCCAGAAAGGGTCCCATCCTCCCAGGCCCGGCATCCTGGCTCCCAGGGTGACTCCCCAGTGATGTCAGAGGGACCCCGAGGAACTCAAGGCAGGCCACCTGGACGCCCAGCTAGCCGCATCCCTCACCGCAGCACCACTGAGGCCTCCGGGATAGAAGCGCTGGGAGTGCGGGGAGGTTCTCTGCCTGAAGCCCTGGGAGTGCCTCTCAGGGTGATTAAGCACTTGGGGATCTCCACAGTCTGGCATTGACCTGGCTTCTCACTGTCTCCTACAGCTAAACCCAACCTTCCACCCTGGCTGGCAGGTCCCGTCCTGACTCTTACCCATGTCCTCTGGGCTGTGGCTCAGTGTCCCCATGCGGGCACCGCCCTCACCCTGCAGTTCAGCTTTTCCAGATCCTACCCTTTCTTCCAAGCCCAGCTGGAGTCTTCCCTCCGACCTGGACCCAGCCCAGCATACCGTGTCCCTCCCCTCTCTAGATTTCAATCATGCTGGCAGTTGTGCCTATAAGAATGGCAGACAGTTTTGTTTCTTGTTCACTTTTCCAGCATTTAGAACAGTACCTAGCACATGAGTCTCCCCGTAAATAGTGGTTGAATCCAGGAATAAATCTCTGTATCCCTCCTAAAATGCCTAGTAAGTGCCTTGACACAGAGACAGGGTTCGTTAATGTTTTCTTCCTTTTTTAAATTTCTCTCTTTAATTTTTTTAGAAAAGTACACATCTAGGAGAAGTAAATGATACCAGGGATGAACTCATTAATTTACCGTTCCCTCCTTTTGTCCTGGTCACACACTGCATTCTATTATTACGTCTCTTTTTATTTGTGTTATCTTGTCTTCCCAACCTGCCTGTAAACTTTTGGACAGCCAGGATGGAAGCAAAGAGGATACCTGGCCTTCATGTCTCCCTGCCACCTGCAGCGATAAGGCATTAGGTATGACCCTTGCACCCAGCTGGCTCTAAGTGGATACTGGATGAAGTGAAGGAAGGGGCAGCCCTTCTCCAGTGCAGCCCAGCCCTGTGGGCAAGTCCTCAACTAGGGCAGCAGCATGAAGGCCCCTCTAACATGCCCAGTGCAGCCTCACAGCAGAGGTTTCAGCCATACACAGAAAGTGCAAGAGGGCTGAGAAAGGGCCCTTCCTCCCCCAAGCGGCGTGAGGCAAGGCCACGCCCACCCTGCGGGGTCAGTGTGAGGACTGAAAACCACTGGATAGAACACGTGGCCTCGCCCGGGGCCAGGGTTTCACCCAGACCTCAGGTGGGGTTTACGTATTAGCTTCCTACCTGCCTCCCACCTTGCTGCACTCAGCAAGGACCAGAGTACCCTGCCTTTCCTCCTCCTGCGCTCCTGGGGCTGGAGCTGCCTCTCCCATCCCTGCTCCTCGGCTCTACCCCGTGAAACCCCAGCTCTGCCCTCAAACCCTGGACCCCAAGCTCCCCACTCACTGGCAGGTGCACCAGTGACCCCACTGCCCCACCCCTCACTCCTCGCCCTCTGTCCTTTCCGTCCTCGCCCTCCACCCCCCACCACAGTCTTCCTCAAGCCTGACCTTACCTGGGCCAGGGGCACTGGGGTGGAGGGTACCCGGGCTCACCTGGGTCCCATCTGTAGAGAGAACAGAGAGGGCATGAAGGGGTGGCAGGGAAGGGGAGAAAGGTGAGGGAGGAGGAGGCCACAACGGGCAGGCCCCGCGCCAGCCTGAGCACCCCAGACGTAGCACCCGAACCAGAAGCCAAGGAAAAGGAGATCCCGCCCCGTTCCTCTCCCCAGATTCCCACGTCAGGCAACGTCAGCCCCAGCCCCCTCCTCCTCACCCACCCTACTGCCCAACTCAGATCTCGGGTCTGGCTGGGGCGCAGTTCACCCGACAAGGCCTTCAGCCCTCCCTGCTGTGCTCAGACCTATCCTCCTGGGTCCAGAATCCTGGGTCCCCAAGGGAGGCGGACAGCGTAGCTGCCTGGAGGGAGACAGGGAGGAGCAGGCCTGCAGAATAGGAAGGGGTGGGGGCTGCAGATGCTTCCCAGGTGGGGGCAGAAAGGAACAGGTGGGAATGGAGAGGCTTCCGGTGGGGGAGGGCGTGGGTACAGCCTGGAGGTCAGGTCAGGTCTGGTGAGAGCTGTGCAGTGGCAGGTCTGGAACAGCCCCAGGGCCACACAGTAGGAACCCCTTTTGTCCCCAGTCCTGTGTCCTGCAGCCTCTGTACCCCCAGAGAAGAGAGAACCACTCAGCCTTTTTCTTGCATAACCTGAAATAGAAGTCTTTCTTTTTGGAAATGGCTACCTCTCCCAGCCTCCTAAGCTTGGCCCAGGACCCCCTATCCCATGCAGAACCCATGGCACACCACGGTAGGGCCCAGCTAGTACACAGCAGAGAGGCCTGGGGGAGAGAGTCCTAAGGCCACCCGCCCAAGATGGATGTGTTCCCTCCTGTTAACCCAGCTCAGGGCCAAGGGGACAGCAGCCAGGACACTGGGAGGCCACCTGACACACAGACTTCTGAGAGCCAGACTTGGGCAGAAAGGGTATTTTCTGAAGGACAAGTGCTCTTTTGGGCCTGTGTTTAAGGGGCAGCCACAGTTCCTCTTCCAGAGGCTGAAAAAGGAGAACTCCCTGCAGGCAGGCGCCACTGCGGCAGGGGCAACCCCAGGCACAGCCAGCCTCCCTCCAGCACTCATGCCCAAGCTCCAGTGGCTGAGGGCTAGCAGGGAAGTGCCACTGCTCCGCCTAGCCAAGAGAGGTGTTTTGGGGTGATGATCTGGGATATAAACCCTTGAGAAAAGCTGCGTGTGCCTGCATGTGCCCGCATGCCTGTGTGTGCACCTTCATGTGTGCCTGGATGTGCCCGCATATGTGCCCGCCTGTCTGCCTGTGTGTTGCCAATAGAGGCCACTTCCAAAGCAATTCCTGGAAAAAGTTCTGCTTCTCCCCCAACTCCCTGGCTCTGTGCTGAGAGCTTCTGAGTTCAGAAGAACCCAGAGCAACAGAGATCAGACCTGATCCTATGTCAGAGAGAGGAAAGGTATCCAAAGGTACCCAGCCATAGGCTAACCTAAGCCCAGAAAGTGAACAACCCGTATCCCAGGGATGGGGGTCAATTTGGGGTCCCTTACAGGATGCTGTTACCACTACTGCGGGGTGAGGCTGAAATAACATCAGGAGTGAGTGGACCTGAGGGACTGAGAACACTGCCTAGGGGCTGGACCCTTCTGCACACAGCTCCCAGCCAGGGTGGAGAGCTCTTCTTTCTGGAATCCTGGCTACGCCCTTTTCTACCTCCTCCAGAGGCTGAAGAAGCGCCTTACCTGGTACTGAGCCATCTGCGCCTACAGGTCACTTTATCGCACCAGAGCACCTAGTCTCACACCAAACCAGAGCCCCAGAAACTCTGCCTTAGTGGGTTGGCCCCAGCCCTTGGCAACCTCCAGCGCCACCCTCCTCTCCCCGGAGCACCTGCACAGGCGACCTTCTGCTCCCACCTTGTTGACCTGGGCCTCACCTGCAGATGTGAGGTTGCCCCAAAGCCAGCACACAGCAGAGGAAACCTGAGCCCAGCCTGCCTCTGTCAGGAGAGGGGTTCCCCAGGAGCACTGCTGCCCAGAAGCCCTCACCACCCCACCCCCACCCCCCATGCCTCCAGATCTTTTTGAGGCTGTTCTCCCCTCCCTGGTCTCCCAACTAGCTGAAAAAGAGGAGCAGGAAGACCTGGGCCCCAGCAGGCAAGAGGAAAGCAGGCAGCGGTGGGAGACCAGTTCTGGGTTCAAGGCTGAGTCCCCCAAGTGGCAGCTCTGGTCCTCCTTCCCTGACTCAGGCCACGCAAAGCCAGACTCCATGTGGGGGCTGGCAGAGAAGAAAGGTGGGGTGAAATAGCTTCGGGAAGATACGAGGATAAATAAACATGAGAAGAACATCATGGTTGCCAGGCCTGTATGACAGGGTGAGGGCTAAGCTCAGAGCAGCTCTTCATGAAGGCATCAGGTCACAGAATCTGAGAATGTTAGGGGCTGAGGGGGCTTTAGGGATTGCCCAGGCCAACACTTGCACTTTGCAGATGAAGAGTAGAGAGAGGGGAAGGGGCTGGGTATGGTCACCCAGCGGGTCTGCGATACAACCAGGCCAGGCCAGGCCAGCACAGGAGAAACCCAGGCAGTCCCAAATGCAGTTAGTAAACACCTCCATGTGAGATCATGGTCCTGGGGACTGAAGGGATGAAAATATGAATGAAACCTGATTCTCATTTTCAAGGAGTTTAAAATACAGCCCACAATTTTTTAAAAATTAAGAAGTATACTACTGCAGATAATAAAAAATTCAAAGAGCCTCAAAAAGTATAAATCAAAAAGGTTCTCACTCATCCAACTCCCTAGGACTTCCCTAGAATCAACCCTTTTTAGCAGTTTATGTCCCCCTTCCAGAAATTCTCTTATTATTAATTCTAACACTCATTATCTCGGCACTATGCTCCTTACTCCTTAGCATTATCCAGAACCCTGGAGGCTACAAACTGGCTGGAATCTCCTGCCACACGAAGCGACAGGAGTGAAGGTCCACAGCGTGCAGGATGTTGACTTTGAGGTCAGGTGGACCTGGGTCCAAAATGGCTCCCTCAGTGGCTGGCAGAGAGAGCCAGGGTGCAACACACTGGTCAAGCCTTGGCTGCCCAGTATGTAATGAGGGTAAGAATATCTACTTGGAAGAGTTCATTTGAGATTAGCAACACTGTGTGTGAAGCAGCCAGCACACGGAAGGTGCTCCCTCAGTGGCTGTGATTACACTGTTTGGCCCTGAACTTGTCTGCAGCCTCCCACCTGGCAGAAGCCCTTCAGAGTCTGGTTCCAACTGCATCCTCCTCAGCCACAGTCCATTTCCTCCCAGGTGTATTTCTGGCCTCATCTCTTATTCCTGCCTCTGCTAACCACAGTCTATTCTCTTTCTCTTCCATCTCAACCTTTATAAACTAACACTTTACTGTGTGCCAGGAGTTATTCTATTTGCCTTACATTTGCTAATTCATCAAGCCCTCATGAAAAACCTATGAGGTATTTACTATTTTTATTCCCATTATATAGATCAGTAACCGGGCCAGTGGTATCAAATAGCTTTGAAGTCACGTAACATGGAAGTGGCTGAGCTGCGACTTGAGCCAGCCAATCGGGCTCCAGAATGCATGCTCTCAATCAGGGCTCCCTCATGCTCCTCCCCAGCCAGCTGCTAGAGAGCAGATACCAAGACCCTGCTGCTCACAGGGAAAGAGCAAAACATCACACAGCCACAGGGGCCCACACCTGTAGCAGAAGCTCCCTATTTCATCCTTGGGTCTCTGTGAAGGCAATCCCAATCACTTACAGCACCTGTTGACTTTGCATGTTCTAAGCAAGGACTTCAGACTGCATGTGGGAACAAGGAGCTGGCAACAGGCTCAGGTCTTAGAGGAGCTTGGGCTTCATTTTCCCTGCCCTTTGGTGCCCAGCTGTATCATTTTGCTGGAAGCTCCCAAGTGCCTCCAGACTTTCTCATTAGCATCCCAAAGCAAGCTCCCTGGTGCAGGCAGAGGGGTCAGCTGCCCATGGGCAGAGGTTCGGCTCACAGGTGGGTGGCCTGCCCAGACAAAAGCCTTCTGTCCGCCCACGGTAAGGGGACTGAGGCTGGGCAGGCTCAGGAGCTGTGCACCAAGAAGGAAGCAGGACGTGATAGGCCGGCCCGCCCGCCTCTGCGGCCAGCATGCCCCTTTCCCCGTGCCTGGGGCCCTGCAGCAGCTATTTTTAGCTCTTGACACCTGGGTATTTTGCAGCCGCAGGATGTCCGGTTTGGAGTCTCTTTCTGGGAATCCCACATGCGGCTGTTGTAAACAGCCCCATGCAGCAGTGGCCCAAGCTGGGAGCCGGCACCCCCCTCTTTCTGCTGTTTGAGATGAATCAAACAGGAAGCAGATGTAACCATGGCAGCAACAGCTTGAGCTCCCAGGGGTGGGAAAGCGTCCTCCCTGGTTCCCTGCCCCCAGCCCATGTCCTCTGCCCCTCTGTGGCCTCCCCCCCCCCAGTGAAGGCAGGGGAACCTGGACCATTCTGAGCTGTGAGTGGCTGTCAGTTCCCGGGGCTGCTGCTCTGGAGAGCTTCACTGTCTCTGGCCAAGGGGAACAGTGGCTCCCCAGGCTCTGCCGGCCTCCTGGAGCCTCAGACCACCCTCAGTCTGCCCTGCCTGCCCTTCATGAAGGTGTGAAGCAGAAGGCAGAGCTTCTTTGCCCAGGGAGGCGGGCTTCGAGAGCCTACATCCCCTTCCATCACCCACACTTTCCCTAAGGCGAGGTGGCAGGCTCCCGCAGTCCCAGCCCCTGGTCCAGACCACCCCAGACCTCCTCAGGTCCTGAAAGCCCTGGACGACACATGTTCCACGTGCCCTCACTTCCCTTCTCTGGGAGCTCTAATCCCTGAACAGGACGTTCACTGTTATGTCTAACCACCATCTTCCCTACCATAAACAAAACATCCTGAGCAGTCAAGATGGGGGCCCCAGGTGTAGTCTGGGGAGAAGAGGTGAGGTTGTCAGCTTCTGCCTTTGTCTCCCCCTCCCCCAACCCTGGCACCCCACTCGGACCAGCTGCTGCCTCTC